GGGATTCCCGGTTCCGTGTGGGTTTCTCTGTCCCGCTCCCGGCTCAGTCCCGTTCCCGGTCCGGTCCCGGTCCTGTTCCGGGCCCGGTCCCGTTCCCGGTCCGGTCCCCACGCCGCTCCCGGCCCAGCGCTCGCCGCCGCTCCGCAGATTCGCCACCCGCACCCCCGAGACCTCCCCGACCCCGCTGCCACGGGAGCCCCCTCACCGCTCTGCCCCCGCTCCCCTCCCCTTCCCCTTTTCCCTCTCCCCTTTCCCAATTTTTCCCCGATTTCCCCCAAATTTTCCCGGCCGTGCCGAATCTGCCGCCCCTAACCCCGCCGCAGATTCGCCGCCGCAGATTCGCCACGGCCGCCGGGCCCCGCGCGGCGCCTCCTCCTCCTCCGCTTCCCCGTCCCTTCCCCGCCTTCCCTTCTCCTTTTCCCCGTTCCCTTCCATCCCCGCCCCTCACGGATTTTTCCCGGTGTGTCGCGATCGCTGCCGGATCTCCCCTCTCTGCCGTGGCGAAAGTGCGGCCGTTGCGGCCGTGGCGCGGCGGGGCCGTTGCGGCGGCGGCGGCGGCTCCGGCTCCGCTCGGTGCCGCTCCCGGTGCCGCTCCCGGTGCCGCTCCCGGTGCCGCTCCCGGTGCCGGGGCCTCCCTCGCTGCGGGGCGGCCCCCGAGGCTCCGGGCGATGCCCTGAGGCACCGAGAGCTCCGCCATGGACGAGGCCGAGGCCGCGGCGGGGGACGCGGCTCCGGCGGCCGCCGAGGCCTCCCCGGGGGACGGGCGGGGGAGGCCCGGGGCCAAGCGGGTCACGTTCCCCTCGGACGAGGACATCGTGTCCGGGGCTGTGGAGCCCAAGGATCCCTGGAGACACGGTGAGGGGACAGCGGGGACCGGGAGGGGACCCGGAGGGGATCGTGAGGGGGGGAGAGGAACCGTGAGGGATCGTGAGGGGAGAGAGGAACCGTGAGGCGACAGCGGGGACCGGGAGGGGACAGAGGAACCGTGAGGCGACAGCGGGGACCGGGAGGGGACAGAGGGGATCGTGAGGGGACAGAGGGGACCCAGAGCGGATCGTGAGGGGGGAGAGAAACCGTGAGGCGACAGAGGGGACCGGGAGGGGACCCTGAGGGGACAGAGGAACCGTGAGGGGACAGAGGAACCATGAGGGGACCCTGAGGGGACAGAGGAGACCCAGAGGGGATCGTGAGGGGGGGAGAGGAACCGTGAGGCCACAGAGGGGACCGGGAGGGGACAGAGGGGATCGTGAGGGGGGAGAGAAACCGTGAGGGGATCCTGAGGGGACAGAGGAACCATGAGGGGACAGAGGAACCGTGAGGGGACCCTGAGGGGACCGTGAGGGGATCGTGAGGGGTGAGACGGAACCATGAGGGGCCAGCGGGACCGTGAGGGGACAGAGGGGACCGGGGGAGGACAGAGAGGACCGGGGGAACCATGAGGGGACCGTGAGAGGATCATGAGGGGACAGGGGAGACCGTGAGGGGACCGGGACGGGAAAGGGAACCGTGAGGGGATCATGAGGGGACAGCGGGGACCGGGGGAACCGTGAGGGGATCATGAGGGGACAGGGGAGACCGTGAGGGGACCGGGGGAGGACAGAGGGGACCGGGGGAACCGTGAGGGGACCGTGAGGGGACAGCGGGGACCGGGGAAAGGCGGCTGAGGGATGTGAAGCGGGGAGCTTGGAACCAGCCTGGAAACAGCCCCAGAATGCGCCAAAACCCGGCCTGAAAACAGCCCCAAACAGTCCCAGGTAATACCCAAAACCAGCCTGAAAACAGCCTAAAAACAGTCCCGAAAATAGCCCCAAATCAATCCCGAAAATGGCCCCAAAACAATCCCGAAAATAGCCCCAAAACAGTCCCGAAAATAGCCCCAAACAGTCCCAAAATAGCCCCAAAACAGTCCCGGGTAATACCCAAAACCAGCCTGAAAACAGCCTAAAAAACTGTCTGAAAACAGTCCCAGATAATTCCCTAAAAACCAGCTTGAAAACTGTCCCAAATAATACCCCAAAACCAGCCTGAAACAGGGCCTGAAAGCAAAGTGGAAATGTCTCCAAAAACTGGCCTGGAAACAACCCCAAAATCCCCTCAAATCACCCCAAAACCCGCCCTGAAACCAGCCTGAAAACGCTCTGAAAACACCTCAAAACCGGCCTGAAAACATCCAGAAAACAACCCCAAAACCAGCCCTGAAATGCCCCAAAAATGGCCAAAAAAAGCCCCAAAACCACCCCAAAAATGCCCTGAAAGCAGCCCCAAAATTGGTGGAAATCAGCCCAAAACAGGCCCAAAAATTCCTTTAAAATACCCCCCAAAAACGCTTCCAAAAATAGCCCCAAAACAGGATTTTTTGGGATTTCAACAGGATTTTTGGGATCCCAACAGGATTTTTGGGATTCAAGCAGGAATTTTTGGGATCCAGGCAGGAATTTTTGGGATCTCAAGAGGATTTTTTAGGATCCAAGCAGGAATTTTGGGATCCCAGCAGGATTTTTTTGGGAATTTTTTCCCACTTTTTCCTCCACTTGCTGCTCCCCCCTCCCCCTGCAGCTGCAGCTCGGATTTCATCCTGTGAACCCTCACGAAATTCATTAATTATTGCTGACTTTAATTGGGATCCATTTCAGGATCCAATTCCAGCCTCACATTCCCGACCTTTTCCCAGCAGCTTTTCCCCCCCCCCAAAAAAAAATCCCGGAATTTTGGGTGGTGGGATCCCAAAATCCCAGATCAAGTGGAGGTGGGATAAATCCCAGAAAAAGGAAAAATCTCTTGATTTCTTCACTTCCCAAAAGCTCCCAAAATTCCCTTTTCCATCCTTTTTTTTCCCCCTTTTCCCCTCCTTTTCCCCTCATTTTTTCATCCCTTTCCCACCCCATTTTTTCCCTTTTCTGACCCATTTTCCACCCCATTTTTTCTCTTTTTTCACCCCTTTTCTACCCATTTCCCATCCCATTTTTTCCTCCCTTTCCCTGCCCTTTTCCCATCTTTTTATTTTCATTTTCCCCACCCTTTTTTCCCCTCCGTTTTTCCACCTTTTCCATCCCATATTTTTCCCTTTTCCCACCCATTTTCCCACCCCTTTTCCATTTTTTTTCCCAGCTCTTCCCACACTTTTTCAATCATTTTTTTCCCTTTTTTCCACCCTTTT